TTACTTGATTTTAAAATAACTGAAGGAAACACACACTATCTACTATCTATTTACTGAACATCAACGTTGAACAACTGAAATTAAAACACACACTGCCTAAATCGAACAGTCACTTTTTTCTTATAGAAAAAGTAAAAATAAATAACTTGCACTTTTGGATACAAAACTTCAATTATTTAATTTTATTTTTAATTTTGGTTATATGTTTTTCATATTAAAAGTAGAAAATAAGCTGTATATTTTGATTACTTTCTTATTAATTGTACAGCCCTACTGTGTAATTCAGAAAATACTGCAAACAGACAGAAAATAATACACAATTAATAATAAAAAAATACCTATTTCCTAGAATAAAATGTATATATGCTCAGGCAAGTTATGTATGAACAAATTCTACTCTGGGGACAAATATCCTCAGAAAACATACATGATTAAAACTGTAGAAACAAGCCATTATTTTAAACCAACAAATACAAATTGATTGAGAAAAAAAACCTTTAAAAAAGTACACAATTGTCGGTGCAATAACCTAGTGGTTAGCGCGCTGACATATGGTGCAATAGCACGTGAGGGCGTCGCGAGTTCGAATCCCGGCTCGATGACATTTCCCTACTCTCTCTTCCACTTCGCTTCCTGTCTCAATACTGTCCTATCTAATAAAGGCAAAAAGGCCCAAAAATAAATAAATAAATAAAATTTAAAAAAAGTACACAGTTCACTTGTAAATGTTTGTTTTATATATAAAACATACTTATAAGTGAATTTTGGATTGTTGCTTTTCTTCATCTGATTCAAGAAATACTTTATCAACAGTCAAAAGCCCAAAAATTGATCTTGTTTTTGTCTGCAGTGTCTCTCCTTTGACAGAACTCCACATATTGGACAACAAATGCAATAATCAGCAGATTGTGGCTTATGAAGGCAGCAGACATAATTGATTTTTGGAAGAGAGAGCAGTGTGAACATGCCGTCCTGACACCAATCACCCCGAGCTTCAGACGTTTAATCCGTCAGCTTTATTTATGGATCGGTCTCTGAACTCTGACCTGAATCTTCTGCAGTTTTAGGAGTGAAAGTCTGAGAAAAGCATCCATGTGCCTGTTCTTTTGTAATATTTGGAGATTATAGGATCCATTTATTACGGACAGTGTTCTGTAATGTAAACAGATCCTAATGCAATGTGTGCTCACGACTGTAAAATGTGGTAATGTGCACTTAACCGAATATTGGTCCAAGGGAGCGATACTTCAGAATGATTTTTCATCTGACTCCCACTTTACGGAGTAACAGGAGATTATGGGCATTATGTGTAAAAGCGTTCGTGTTTGAGAGTTGACTGGAGTTTCTGCTGACGAGCAAATGTGTGGTATGAGTGACCCGCGTCATTCTCAGACAAAGATAGGAACATCCTGTTACTTTTAGACTTTCCATGCCTGAATTAGAACAGCTTTTGGGGTCACGTTGGCCCGTTTGTCTTATTAAAAATGTTGAAATGCAGTTTTAAAGTCGAGAGCAAATCAGACACTCAAAATGTGTTTTCTGTTTTTCATCCTGCTTTAGTTGAAGTAGATGGATAAACTAGTTTGGGCTTTGTAAGAGTATGTATACAGTTTAGGTCTGAATTATTAGCCCTCCTGAGTTATTACCCCCTTGTATATTTGTTCCTCAATTTCTATTTGACAGAGAGAAGAACACATTTTTAAACATAATAGTTTTAAAAATATTTTCTAATAACTGATTTATTTTATCTTTGCCATGATGACAGTACTTAATATTTTACTAGATATTTTAAGACACTTCTATACAGCTTAAAGTGACATTAAGGCTTAACTAGGTCAGAGATCAGAGTAATTAGGCAAGTCATTGTATAGCGATGGTTTGTTTGGTGGACAATCAAAAAAACTATTGCGAATAATTGTAACCTTAAAATGACTTAAAAAAAATAAAAACTGCTTTTATTCTGACCGAAATTAAACAAATAGGACTTTCTCCAGACGAAAAAAACATTATCAGACATACTGTGAAAAAATTCTTGCTCTGTTGAACATCATTTGGGAAATATTTGAGAAAGAAAAAAAATACAGGGCTAATAATTTTGACTTCAACTGTATTATCTAATATTATTTTGAATATTAGATTTTTAGCTCATAATTAGAAAAACATATAGCTACAATTTAGAGTTGTGTTTGAGTAAAACTTATTTTTGTTTTCCAAAATCATTAGTCTAATGCATTCGAAAAAGAAGTGAGAAAGAAATATTTTTTCAAATGCTTTGGACTCATGATTTTGCATACTTAACAAAGTATCCAAAGAGCATTATTTACCTCTGAACCTCCTTTTGTTTGATTTAGATCAGGGGTTTTCAACTGGTTTGGCCATGGGACCCACATTTTTACATGGTCATCAAGCCGCGACCCAAATTTTTAGGAACTATAATACAGTTTAAGTAAGCCATCATAAATACTTAATTTGTATTTATTTGTTAACATAAACAATAGTGACAGACAAATCATAAGAAATTCACCAAGACTTACAAATAAACAATATTTTATTGCTGTCATTTAACAAAATGGGAAAATTATAGAAATATTACAAAGTAAAAACGACAAAAACTGTTAATAATAAACTGTCAATAAAACATGTTTTTTGGTTTCTAAAGGTTGCTTTTATTTAGAAGGTTTTATGCTCTCTTTTGAGAGCACCTCTCTACATATGACACTGAGGCTTTAAGTCTTTTACATATTCGGGGTCGTACTTGCGCTTGACATATTTGTTGCAATAATTAAATTAAATTTCACATCTCAAACTGTTGCCTGCTGCCTGCCTTTTTGACCATCTGCCTGTTTTTCAACCATGACTCTGGATTGCTTCTGTATACATCGGTTTGCTCCTTTGTTGACTGTTGCTTGCCGGATCATCCTGCTAATAAACCTTGCATTTGAATCTGCATCCCTTTGTCCAGCATCCCTGTCACATTACACTATGAATTTACTATATTATATTTATTATTATGAAAATGTTATCCCAATAAAAGAAATATAACCATGTTGCTCAAACCCAAAGCTAATACATAGAGTAAATACAGAGATATTATGAATTTTCAAGTATACAGTATGTCTATCAAATCAAAAACTATTATTTTATAGTATTATTTATAGTATTATTTTACATCCAAATGCTTTTTCAGATGCCAAAAGCGAACAACACATAGTAATATTTGCTCACAGTGTGTTGTAATACTAAAATATTGACCTTAATGTTTACATTCCTTGCCTAATCTCCAAAGCTCAGACAGTGATTCATCTTTTATAAATCATTAAAATATTTATGTCCAAGTTGCAGTAATTCCAGTAACCGTTTTGCTAGAATGTGTGATATGACTAATCTGTCATCTGTTATAAATGACTATTACTCTATAAGTTGAAATATCAGTTGAAACAGTATTTTATGCCTCACAACTTAACAAGCAGTGTATTTTCAAATGTAACGTATTCCTGTAGTGTAAAGCAGAATTTTCAACATTACTTCAGGCACATAGCAAAATTTCTCTGGCCTCACAATCAGATTTTGCTTGGCCCACATGCTGCAGTGAATTTACGTTACATGACTGGATCAAGCCTGGCTTCCAGACATGGGCCAAACATGCACTGTAAAAAACAATTCGTAATTTTACGGTTTATTTCCAACAGCTGGAGTGCTTGAATTACAAAGATTTAGGGATTCAGGTTGAATTAAATTTCAACCTGAATGATGGTTGAATGAAATTTACCCAAAATTGAAATTTAAGTAAATTTCTGTAATTTAATTTCCATTATTTTACAGTAAATTTCTGTAATTTAACGGTCCTTATTTTACGTTTTTTCCAGCACCCCAGCTGCCGGCAATAAACCGTAAAATTACAGATTTTTTTTTTTAACAGTGTGGCCAATATCTGGGTCAAGTCTCAGCCAAAATAATAACCTATAACTGGCCCTGATCTGGGCCAAATAAGTTAGTGTGTCACGACTGCAATGAAATTGATAAACCCATGAAACATTGCACAGTAAGGGCATGCTTTTTCTAGAAGTAACCTGATTGGTAAATTTTTTTTCTTTACTAAAAAACTATTTTTATATATTTTAAATGTGGGTCAAGATAGGCCAAACTTACGTGGCCCACATTCAATTCAATTCTATTCAATTCAATTTATCTTTATTTGTATAGCGCTTTTACAATGTAGATTGTGTCAAAGCAGCTTCACGTAGAAGATTATAGTGAATTGAAACAGTGTAGTTCAGTTTTCAGAGTTTAAGTTCAGTTCAGTTTAATATTCATCGCTGGGAGTCCAAACACTGAAGAATAATCCATCAATTGCCAGCTCTACAAGTCCCGAACTATGCAAGCCAGTGGCAAATCTTGTGTGCTGCTTAAAGTTAGTGCCACCTCTGCCAATTCCAGTCCATGTTTGGCCCACATGCTATAGGCCAGTGACAGATGAATGCCTGCTGTGCCAGCTTTATGCCAAATCTGGGCCATAATTCTTTGCTACCTGGGCAGTGTCACGCAATCATTCAGAAACTGTTTTTGATAAACTGAAAGTTTAAAAATACAGTATTTAATTGAAATAGGCATCTTTTAAAATGATGAACATCTGTCACTTTTGATTAAGTTCCATGTTTGAATAAAAATACTAATTTCTTTTCAAAATTAGCACTGATTTCAAATTTACCGCACACCGGATGCGCCGCTTAGCATAGCAACACGGTGCACACATGACAGTTGAAAGTGACAGTCGCCGACTTGCGGAACCAGTGTGCGTACACTTATGGATATCTTTGCTTAGAATTCTAAAATTTATGGCGCTGTGTGGCGTGGCGCATCGCATCCGCTGTGTGACCCCGTTAGAAACCTTAAATTCAGTAATGTGACTTTAGTGAGTTTTTCCATCCTGCTTTATTTAATTAAGTTATAAATGTGTTCTTGTTCTATGCATGAAGTAAAAATGCTTTTTTTTTTTACAGAGTGAATCAGTGAAATATTTCCTGGACAACTTGGATCGGATTGGCCAACTGGTGAGTCATGATAACACAGCATTATTTATTTGTGCCAATTCTTCATGGTATATTATTGTTTCATGTTTTCATAATGATTTATCTATTAGATAAGCAATGATAATTATCCGGGAAGAGAGCTTGACAGAATAATGTTTCCCAACAGTTAAGTTGGGGGCGTTGAAAACCAGAGGCTTGAAAAAATGAAAGTAAAAAGCTCACTTTAAGACTGATATTGGTCAAGGTTGCCAAGAGCACATAGTGTGTCTCAGATGAGTGATTAAAAAAAAGGCCTGGAAGTGTTTTGTGTGCGCATGGAAACCAAGGCCAATGACAAAACAGATTCTTTTGGGTGGGATGTGAAAACTGCTTCCAAGATCATTTTCTCTACCCTTGCGTCAATTTTCGTTAAGGATTGTGTATTTATGACAAAATATTGCCTGGGAAACATCTCTTATTTGACTGCAAAAAAGTAACAAATATCTGAACGATTACGTTTGCAAAAAGTATAGCCATTATGTTGTAATGCTCTTTCATACTGATTACCATTAAATGGTGTAAATGGGCAATGGGCTGACGCTCTTGAATCAAATACTTCTCTACGGAGCTATTCAAATCAGGTATGATGAGTCGCTGCGTTTTCATTTTAAGGTCTAGAATAGCAAACACCTCTTTGTATTGAATACACAAAATATTTGGATAGAAGAGCTTTTTATTTTCCTTTTGAATGTCGAAGAAATGTTCCACATTAAAATGATTTGTCTTTAATGAGATGAAAATATGCCTGGTAACTGTAAAGCATTTTCATTGAATCTCTAGTGGCCCGTTTCCACTGACTGGTACAGTACGATATGGGAAGGTACCAGTCACCTTTATCAGGCTTTCGTTTCCACTGCCAAAAGGGTACCAGTAACCTACTATAACGTCTGCAATTATATAAAATATATTAATAAATGCAACATATACGAATACACTCAGACCCTTACAGTCTCCTATATGCTACCAATTACAACTACACACAGGATATATTTAGTCCTTATTTAAGTTCAAAAATACACAGCATATAGCCTACAGTCAGTGCAAACCTTTCATCTGTATCTTTAATCTTCATCAGCACATGTAGCCTCTGTTTGAAACTAATTCCGTCATTCCGAGTTCATAATAGTCTAAAAGGTGATGATAATAGTTAAACATGGCAGTGTGTTCATGTTTTAGGTTGCTGAAAGAATCATTTACTGTTTTTTTCCAGCTTCTCCTTTGTTTTTTCGTGCTTCACTTTCATGATTGGATGTCAGAAGCACTTCAATAATCACGCGCATGTTGTTATCATGAGCTCAAGAAGTTCGCGATCGCGAGCTCTCTAGAGTAAAAGAGAAAGCGATCACACTTTTAGGCGGCCTCGTAAAACAAAAACAGGACACGGCAGATTTTGTACTTCTTGGACTTGTGGATGTTCATCAACACGACGATAAGGTTTGTTTGAGCTTGGGTCGATCATGGCTTGTTATTATTTGTTAATATTAATACGGTGTAATGTCTCGGCTGTGTATTTAAAAATAGGACTTCGTTTCTTTAATTCTGCTTGTGTATGCGTAAGTGGCGTATCTCTGTAAACCAATAGTGTTCAGCTGCACATCTAGCTCTGCCATTTGGTACCCTTTTGTTGTGCTAAGTACCTTTTGCAAAGGGTACCCAAAAAGTGGTATGAAATTCGTTTTTAGGTACCGTTTGACAGTGGAAACAGCCATAAAAGCTTATCGTACCGTACCATACCACTCAGTGGAAAGGGGCCATAGGTGAGGGTATGTATGGGCTTTATCTGATCTTTCAATATTTTATTGCCAAAATTATTATAATTATTTTACAAATTAACAACACCACAGTAAAGAGCTTTCATTTTTGCTCAAACTTTTTGTACAAACCCTTGCCAAAAACTGTGTTTGGGTTAAAAGAACAAGAGTGTTTTTCCAACCAATTACAGACAGTTTAAAGTGTTTAAGCCCTAGTTTAAAATTCCATTCTGCATCCTGTATGTATAAGGATTACGTTGTATTGGACAATAGATGGTTTTTTGAGGCTGTTCGATTACATTTGAGCTAAAAAATGCTATCTAATGGCAAAAAATGTATTTGCAATTGATTACATTTTCTCAACCTTTTTTTCCAGAGTTATGTGCCGAGTCGACAGGACATCTTACTGGCCCGGAAGGCCACCAAAGGAATTGTGGAGCATGATTTTGTCATTAAGAAGATCCCTTTTAAGATGGTAGATGTGGGAGGCCAGCGCTCTCAAAGGCAGAAATGGTTTCAGTGCTTTGACGGCATCACCTCCATCCTCTTCATGGTGTCCTCCAGCGAATATGACCAGGTGCTGATGGAGGACCGTCGCACCAACCGCCTGGTGGAGTCCATGAACATCTTTGAGACCATAGTCAACAACAAGCTCTTTTCCAACGTTTCCATAATCCTCTTCCTCAACAAGATGGACCTTCTGGTGGAAAAGGTACGCAAGGTCAGCATTTGCAAGCACTTTTCCGACTTTCGGGGAGACCCTCACCGACTGGTGGACGTGCAGGCCTATCTGGTGCAGTGCTTCAACCGCAAACGTCGCAACCGCATCAAGCCACTTTTCCACCACTTCACCACTGCCATTGACACTGAGAACATTCGCTTCGTCTTCCATGCCGTCAAAGACACCATTCTTCAGGAGAACCTTAAGGACATAATGTTGCAGTGACTTTTTGATTGGTTTCTACCATTGTTTGAGTTCATTTTCAGTCATATTTCGGGAGGAAATTACTTTTGGAAAAAACATTTTGATCACTGTGCGTGAGAAAGTCATAGTGCGAGATTATACTCCAGTCAGTTATATCCAAGAGATGGCATTCATATCCAAGAAAATGACACAAATCTTTCTTCGCCATCACTCATTTGCAATTTTTCCTGTGTAACAGGATGTTTGAAGACACCATTGATGGTGGAACTTTTAAGGGTATTAAAATTCGGTTAATCCGTCAATTAAGCATATTTTCACCACTTGTCTCAAGGATAAACTCGAACTTTACACTGGCTCATTTCCCAAATAACATACTACAAACAACTAGCAAACCTGCACTGAACATCCAGCTTGAACAAACATTACTTTCATGTCACTCGACAGATTTATTGTTGATATATTCTAACATTTAAATCACATTTTGCTTTATCTATAAATTATAGATGACATGCAAATTTCTCATTAACAACTAAGCAGGGTTTTTGTACATAGAATGAACAGCGGCTTTTGTATGTGTCTCCTCTGCTTTTCATGTGTCTCTTCACGTTAAGCTACAAGCTTTGAAATATAGAGTAGGGTCAAATCACTGGTTATGCCTAACACCACTAACTTACGATGAACAGCGCATTAATGGTATTCTTTAAATGTCATGATTGCGCTGAATATATACTATATGAGTAATCATATATTGTTAAGCCAATGTTTATACAATCTGTGTACTTTACAAGAGGGAGTCAATCTGATGCTGTTCAGTTGGTCTATCAACAGATGTAAAGGTTTGATTTCTTCCTTCCTTCTTTGCACACTGAATTCTGAAATTTTTCTATGCGTTAGTTTTTCATATTCATATGCGAAATATTCGTCACATATACAAACCTTGCACATTGAGTATGATACGTATTAAATAATCCATTATGAAAAAACACAAAACATTTGCAAGTCAATTAAAGCAGTGATACTTTGTTCTCCTCTCTTCTCCAAAGTAGAAAAAAAAAGGAGAATAGGCCACATATTGCGTTCATCCAATTCTGCATCAAGAGTAAGGAGAGTTTAGCTCATTGTCAAAGAGCTGCGCTGGATTATCCCGGAATTAATTTATTTATCTCAAACTTTATTTCAGGAAATCAGTGGAATTTTGATACATTGCTTGCGATACTTCACACATTCACATTGGTAAACAAATCCTGAACAGAGACTGGCAGTACTATGGACATTATAACAGATGGCAGCCGCGTTGATGTGTCAAAGCAACGGACCGAAAGCACACCATGCTTTCTATTATAATTTTTATGAGCAGTACGTCAAATGTATGAACACACACACACACCAAACAGCAGCAGGGCAGAGGTGTGCCAGTTACTGAATCCAGGATTCTCAACAGTCCGCTACATTCTGTCTTTATTTTATGCACTGTGTTTGTCATAAAGTTATCTGTAGCTCAAATGTCGGCATTCTGTATTTAGCTTTTCGCTTGTACGATGGCTTTGAACGGTCAAAACACCTCTCAAAATGCTTTTTCAAATGAGAAAAGCAGAAAAAAAATCAAACCCGATTCAAATTTTTTTATAGCGGACGAAAGTTTCGGAGGCTGTGTGTTAATGCGATTGATTCAACGTGAGGTCGAATTTATTTTTTAACATGCAAAAATTATGGATTCAGTGTGCAATAACCTTTATTCTTCAGATCTTGATGAATGGCAGCTGTGAACAGCTGTTTGTTTTGCTTTTAGATTTTGTTGCTGTGGGAGGTCCTATGTTGTGATCCCGGACGAGCCCCCAATTTGTTGCGCCCATGTTACAGTCTTTACATGAACAGGGTGAGAAGTGGCTTCCCTTTGATGCCTGCCAGTGCTGAGGAGAGTTTCTTGAGGTTACTTTTCCACAGATCTGGTTTTGGGATCTGGCCTGGGCGAGTAGTTTCCGTTTCAATGCAGGTGTTACTTGTTAGACTTTTGTTTTGTGCCATCGTTTTAGGCTTTGGGAAAGTGTGAGATATGTTATCAAATAGTTCTAACAAGAGCATCAAGCTCTTCTTGCATTTTTATGTGTGCCGCAATGGACACTGTGCCTCATTTTTTATTCCAAAACAACATTGACAATGTTTCTCTATGCCCTAAAGGTATTTAAATTTTATCCTTCCTCCTAATCACCGCAGTGCCATGTTGGCAGGAAGGCATTTGATCTGAGATATTGGACACACCCTAAACCTTTGTCCCTGACAACTCTTCCCATTGGGAGCAAAACATGTGCATTTACTGGAAGCTCTCCGGTGCATAAAGAAACAGACTAAATTCTTTAACTCAAGGCTGTGTTTATTCTTGTTTCTGTTTTTAGGACCATAAATCTATTGGGAGAGTTTAACGGCAAAAAAGAAACAGACATAAGTATAAAGGTTATTCAAATTTACAATTAAGATAAGCATGTAATTATTTTGATATGAGTATTTTTTTTGGAGGATAGTAATCAGAGTAACTGTTTCCAGTCGTGGTTTTAGTCTACTGAAGGTGATTTAAAAACTACAGTATTTATGTTACATTTGCTGCTCTGGTGTTTTTGTCCCTGTATGGATCTCATGAGTGCCACTGTTAACAGGATGTCTGCTTCAACACTCCTTTCAGAGTTTCACTGTACTTCTTTTCCACTTTCATATTTGTTTCCCAATGTTTAATGTATCCAGTGATTGACTGTAAAAAGTGTGAAATTTCAGATAAACTGCAATATGAGTGTTTTGTAAATAAGAACTGTAAAAATACAATAAAACCATGAGTTATACTTAAGGGTTGTTTTGCATATTATATGATTGAATATGCACTGTATCAAAATATCATGTTATATATATATATATATATATATATATATATATATATATATATATATATATATATATATATATATATATATATATATATATATATATAGGAGAAAGAAAATTGACCTTTTACAATAGATTTTTCATTATTAACAACATAAGTTGTGGCTATACCATGCTTGTTGAAAAGTGTTTTCAGTAAGCAAGGTGATCAAATTTAGAGTATACCAATGACACATGACATAAGATTACAAGTTACACTTAAACTTTAGGAAAGTTACAGCAGTCAAAAATGAGCAGGAAGTGTTTGTTTATCTTAAACTTCATCAAAACACTGTATGTCAAGCGACAGCTTTTTATCCTGTTGAGAGCTGAACTAATGTTAAAGCAATTTCTCATTGATATTCTCTGCATTACCTATTATTCACTTGTTTTCATAGATGACCAGCCATTTTAGGGAACCTAAATGATTAAAGCCTGCTCATATAGTATTTGTTTTCAGTATTGTGGATGTCAATAGTTAGTATATATCTCTTTAAATTACTTTGAAAAGATGTAATAATAATAATAATTATATATATATATATATATATATATATATATATATATATATATATATATATATATATATATATATATATATATATATATATATTTAAAATAAAAATTAATTTTCGGCTTCATCACAATGCACTTTGTTGAAATAGTTAAAAACTGATAGTGTGTAATGTTTTAAATATTTTTAGCAGGAAAAACATGCAAGCTAAGGCTAAAATATGTTAATAAAGTGAAATCGCTAGCAATGTTTCAAAACAAAACAGGCCAACTGTCCTCCCTGCTGAAAAAAAAACCAGCATAAGCTGGTTGGCTGGTTTTAGCTGGAAGACCAGCCTGGTTTTAAAGGGGTTTTGCAGGTTTGCAGCCTTTTCCAGTCTGACCGGCTAAAACCAGCTTGACCAGCCTGATTTAAGCTGGATATAGCTGGTTTTGGCTGGGCACCCAGCCTGGCTAGGCTGTTCAAGCTGGTTTTAGCTGGTCATCTCCTGGCCAGACCAGCTCAGTCATATGGCTGGAAACCAGCCTGGAAATGGCACGAACCCCTCTAAAACCAAGCTGTTTGATCAGCTAAAAACAGCTAACCAACCTTGGTTGGTTTAAGTTGTTTTTTCAGTAGGGCTAAAACAGACCAGAACATATGCAACACATTAACATGCTAATTCTAAAACATAGAAAACATTCTAAAACATTCTGTAACATTGACTGATTGTTTTTTAGCGTCCAATTTTAAAATGGATTCAACTGAACAGCTTTTAAAATGTTCTCAAGCCAAAAGTTGGTCTCTAAACTTTAATATCGTCTAGTTTTCAGCTTTCTAACATCTCAGCAAAGCTTAAAAGTGCTGCTTTTCCAACTAAAAAAGAAAAGTGTCCCCACACGCTGCATTTCTTGCGCACGCATGGCTTTGGGAACAAGTTCAAACAGAGACAAATAAACAGGGGTTATGCAAGAGTTAAGTGGCTGAGGAAACGGTACCACCAACTGGGGCTTGTGCTCAGTAAGCACCATTTTAACTTGGACGCATCTTTTTTTCACAAATACGCCACCCGTCTTTGTAGCCAGCTATTTTGGGCTTTATTGTCATATAAGAGTCACTGAGAACTTTTTCCTTTCCTGTGAGGGATCTGATGTTCGACGAAGAACAAAGAGGCCCTATTATGGTAAGACATCTAAACAAATATTCCCCATGTAACCTTCGACAAATAAAGCTCGAGGAAGAAGATAAAGTCGAAGCACAGAGTGCCCTTTCTGTGCCAAGCATGGCTTATTTGCGTGAGGTAAAACTCATGACTTGTGTTATACTTACTTTTGCTCCAGGCTGCCTTTCATTGCACTTCAAAATTGAATGCTGATATTTAGTAATATACAAGGGCAGCAGTCGTTGGCAGACTATTTAACAATGTTTCATTCTGCCCTTTATTGCAATCTGCCTGCAAGGCTTGTGTCGAGCTTTCAAATACACATCCAGCAGTGATTTTTCCGAGATTAAGGAGTGAGGGGAAAATGTCAGTTCAAGCATTAGCTGGAAAAGATGCGCCTGAGGGAACATTACTGTTAGTAATCTAATCACAACTGCAAAAACATCGCTAGAAGGGCACCAATCATTATGCAGATGGCTAGAGTTTGTCCAGACAGAACAAATCATCTGACTCTTGTATTACTGGGAAATCTTTCACCAGCTCATGACAAATTTGAGGTGCTTGCAACAAGAGCGCCACCTACTGGATATGTGTAGAGGACACCAGTTTATATTTCGCATTATCTACATCAGTGGTTCCCAAAGTGGAAGAGAGTTCACTTGGAAATATAAAAGACTTAATTAAACTTGATTAAACAATTAGATTTACCAAATTTTATCCATAACCTACTGTAGTTAAAAAAAGTATTTACTAGTTACATCCGACCCCTGGGTTATTTATGTTATACTACTAATAATAATGGTATTATTTAATATTGCAGCAGATTGATTTTACAGCACCATGGTAAACCTTTACCGCACTCATGTACATTAAAAATAAACTAGAGAGATAAGATAAAACATGATATTCATGTGGTCTCCAAAATTAAACCAATAATAGGCTTGTGCAGTAAACTATATATAATGCCCACCAGTCTCATTATATGAGGTTAATATTAAAATAAACAAATGAATAAATGACAAAAAATAATATTATGATTGTTAGACTGTTGCACTTTTTTTGTGTTGTCAATATGCTTGTGTTGATATTGGCCTGTTGGTGTGTGTGCACCATTTTGAGCAATGCTTGTATGTTTATTACCACCTCCGAGGATGGGGAGGGGGAAGGGTTGCGAATCACTGGAATAATTATTTTAGGGGTAACGAGATAAAAAGTTTGGGAACCCCTGATCTACATTATAGGAAATGAAATAGAAACAGAATATATGTAAATGCATTGTGTTTCTCAAAGATTTAATGTATAATCTTCGTTTTGTTTGTACGAAGAAGAAGAATTTGCCTTTGGTGTTATTAGTAATATATGGCTATGAAGAAATTAAAACTTTTTCATCAAGGAGACATGACATGTATCAAACGTAAAGTAAACAACTTCTATAAAATAGTATTGGTATATTCAGATATGTGGAAATCAAGATGTAAATAAATAAATGAATAAATAATAAATAAATGATTATATGTTACTAAATATTTTTTATTTGATGTAAATGTTGTTTTTTTGAACATTATGTTCTTAAAATTAACTATGTATCATAAATTCCACGATAAAATAAAATTATAACCGAACTGTTTTCAGTAATGTAATTACTTATTTTTAGGAAATGTATTTTTATTACATTTGGATTACTTTTGACCTACTTTTACTTTTCTGTTTATTACTTATTTTTTAAAATCACAATTAGTTTACATGTTAATATAAAATACAACATGACAAAAATTGTGTGTGCATGTATATATATATATATATATATATATATATATATATATATATATATATATATATATATATATATATATATATATATATATATATATATAAAAGAATAACCTATAAATTACCTAAATTAATTACAATAGCTAATCATTCTTTGAATCTGATTACATCATCTTGATTACATGTAATCAGTTATACAACGCATTAGACAGTGAATTATGGTTTAGGTCCACAGTATCATTTATTAAAATAATTTCCTTTATAAACCACTGCCTAATGCATAATGGTCTCCTATTATGTCTAATAGTTTCCTTGTGTTTCTGCAGGACTGCCACAGGTCATTGTCAATCAATGTAATCAGCTGGAAAACATCCAAACCAAAGAGCTTCTTAAGGCTTTAGTAATGAACTAGACGTAAACTGTGTATCGCTGCGATGCCCTGAGGATGTGTTTGAAGCATTACTCTCTCGTAATGTTTCCAGCTGCCCTAAAGATTAAAGAGTCCCATTTTCAGATCATTACCAGGCTTTACCCTTCTAGCCGATTTACATGGGATGTCATTAAAAATGTACAGCATGTACTGTGGATGGATCTGTGTTACATTCATTTACAGTTCAAGATTAATGAGTACAGGTACAGCTACCAAAATAATGTACATTAATAAAAAGAAAGGAAAATACAAAATACTATGATTTAAAAAAAAAAAAAATCCCTATATGCTTACAACCCATGAACGCATGTCTTGGAAGAAAAGCTTTACTGAAATAGAAAATATTTCCTATATAGGCATGAGACGATAACCGTTTACAAGCTGTACAGTGTTTTGGAAAAGTCAAGATTTTAAAACCATAAATATTTTCTACCGTTTGTAAGGTATATGTAAATGTTTTTTGAAATAATAGTTTTTAGGGCAACAGTATCTCCAGCAGAAAAAAAAAACCCTCCACATCAAAAGCTACTAGTCAGCCCACGATTCAGCAAATATTTGAGAAACAAATTGCTTATAAACCAACATCCAATGCTGCTATGTGCATTCTATGTGCTATATGCACCTGAACAGTGGAGTGGCTTACTTACTTTAAATCCAAAGAAAGATATCTAAGGATGCCTTTTCAAGTTCTTTTCAAGAAATCTGTATTTTGTAAACTTACAAAGATATCAGACGTCAATGATGTATTTAAATATTGAGCCTGACCTGTTTAATGCTCCAATTTTTTATGTTTCTTAAAATAAAAGAAATATTCTGTTCAATAGGAAAAAACATTTTTTTTTAACCCAGATATTTATTAAGAATATTTTATTGCAGTGATCACAATACTGTGAAACTGTGACATTTTTAATCAAGATTTTCATACCATCAGAATCTTATATCGACCTATTCCTATTCCTAAATTTGCATATAGTAGCTAGAAGGTTCAGTTTTTGAGAGTTAAAATATTTTATTAAATAATTCAAATATTTTGATTATCAAATATTTAAGTCTAAACAACATATATTTTTG